TATATCCTTATCATAATAACTTTGTGATTTTTGTACATGTTCTTTGTGGTCCCCTGCCGCAGGCCAGTTGATTTCCACTACATCCGATAATTTACCACTCCAGTGCTCACAGCTGACTGACAGCAATCTGGAAGCAGACACCCTCAATCCTCTACGTTCTTGTATGCTGCTACATCATTTGATCTCACACACACAAACACGCATACAGATGCCACAAGTAGAGATTTTTTATTCAAAACATCTGATGATGCAACCTCTTGCCATTTTGCCATCTTTTTGAAAATCACGTTTTGAAAGGTTTTTTTTTGTTCTAGTCATTGATTCATTTTGACAATTAAGTCACAGATTAAAAAACAAAAGAACATTTATGTGGAGCCATCATTTACCCACATGCGACTGTATGTGTGTGTGTCATTGTATAGGGTTGAGTAAGTATGATCTCCCGGGGAACAACAGACTCAACAACAACCTCTATGCAACAAATAGCTTATGTTCTAGAAATGAAACAGGGTTTAAAACAGTTTTTGGCTTCTCGGTGTTAGTCTAGATTTTACTCTTCACAATCAGTTTTTTTCAACATATTCATTTCAATTGTGCTTACGTTGTCTTAAACATAAAAAAGCTGAAAAAAACAGATTTGAGTTCACAACATGATATGTACCACATTTTTGACGAGAATCTGACAAGAAATATTTCCCTATAGGATTTCCATTGCCCCTGAAGCTGATGCTTTTATAAGACACTTATTATTCACATACATACATTGTGATGCTTTTTTTTCTGATGAATCATTTAAAGATGATTCATTCTCCCTCAGTCTGCCACCTATGTAGGCTTGGGTAAGATGAGCTGCAGTTTTTAGTTTGCAGTTGAGTTTTTTCATTGCATATATCATGGTGTGATCTCAAAGTGCTCTACAATATGGCGAATGAGAGATGTGTCTAAGACCAGGATGCATTTATTGTAGCATGGAGTACGTAATGCCCAAAATGTGCTGAAACAAAAAGTTGTCTTTGCTTTCAACATATTTTGGTTTTATGTTACTGGAATAATATGACAAGCACCTGAAAATGCATTTGGTAAGAAAAATAATCATTACCCTACCCATCCATTCTGTCAATCTGGAAGTGTTTTGTATTTTTGTTTCTGTCAACAAATTCCATCAGAAGGTGTTAGTCTGTCCTTCACTTCTTTATGATTTTACTTTCTTGCCTATGGCTATCAGCCTGTCTGAGATGGAGGAGAACAATCTCAGACCTGCCCTGCTTCTGATTGGTTATCTAGTTTACCCATGCCTTTGTTGGTTGGGTTGGTCAAGTTTGGGATAAGGAGTGATGATGGTTAGGATTAGGGTACAGATATTAGGGTAATGGCGTAGCCTCACATATGCGGCTTAAAGTTGAGACCATGCCTCACCAGAGTTGGCGATTTTCGCCTCCTAGCTTGCACAGATTGGAAGTGAACAGGATGCAAAGATTTGCCTCAAATACATTCTTGTATGTGTCAGCAGGCCCTGAGCCCATCAGAAGCAGGGTAGGATCAAGTCTTCTGCCACCTTAGGTGTGAAAGAAATTAAGCACTCTAAGCCCACTAGTTTTTGTAGTTCTAAATAGTAATTTCCTAAAACAGGTCAACCAAGTGGATTTTTGCCAATAAAACATTTATAGAATAACACCCATCTTATCCTCTATCCTTTATCCTATCCTCTAAATCCAGGATGTGATTTAACAGCAGCTGTAAACAGGCCTGAAGAGATCAAATATAATATGTTGCAAACTGGACGAGCAAAAACTGCATGTTCTAAGTGCATTTGTTAAAAGACAGAACAGGTCCGAGAGCCATGCTCGCGGTCAGTGGTGACTATTTGTTCTACCCTCCCAAGGCCTTGTGTACATATTGTCCATTCTCCACTCATTTTTCTCCGGAGAGATGTATTTTTGTGGCCTACAAGCAAAAAGCAGAGTGTCAGATGTTTCCTGCTTTAGCTGCAGTAACCCCTCACACACACAACCATTATGTAATTCCTTAATTCCTACTTGTTTTTTTCTTCAGTATGTTCGAACTCTACCACAGATTTAGATGATATTCTGTAGCTCTGTTTTCGATGGTGTGAAATTGTGAAAG